TTTTTAGGTCAAGTCATCTAATTCTGATTTAACAGATCAGTTATCTTTTTTTGAAGTATAAAACAGGTTCTAGAGAAAATTGGGTTAGTATAAATGTTTTTTTTTACTTATTAAGAAAAGAAGAAAGAAACAATTAGTCCAGTTTATTTGCGATTAAAATTATTTAACTTATTATTATTTTATTAGTTTAATTTACTGATTTAGTTTATAATAATTAATCAATAATTTTATTTTATTTTTTTTTTAATTAGAAGTATTTTTTTTTTATTTGATAAAAAAAAATAATTTAATGAATAATTTGGTAAAAAAAAAAAAAAAATAAAATAAAAATAGTAACAAAAAATAGAAAAGGAGATGAGAGATTAAAAAGAATAGTTTTTTATGTATTTGTATATAGAAAATAGTAAAAAATAGTAATAAAGAAAAAAAATGAAAAATGAAAAAGGAAGATTTGTAAATTTTTTTTATTTAGGCTGCAAATTTTCATTCAAACTTAGTAATTAGTATTTGACGTGATACTTGTCACATTTGAAATTAATGATTGGGTATTTGATGTGATACTTGTCATTACTTATATAAAAATTCTTTTCGAAGATTGTTCAGCTGGCAGGAATATAGGAATGAGGCAGATTCTCCAGTTAGTAATTATAAATTCATTGCTATAGATATTAGAAGAAAATTAATATCTTGTATTTCAACTTTGTATTCAAATATTTTATCAATACAGATCATCTCACCAGTAATCATTAAATTTGAGTTTTTTTAATTCTAGTTGCCTTTTTCTCAATTTGTCTATCAGATTTTAAGTATCTGAATTTAATTCATAATGTTTTTCTTGTAGATTCACCTTGTGAACTTTCAGCAAATTCAGTTATGTTTAGCTTAATGATTTTAAATAGGTTGTCACTTTGAACTGATTCCATTTCTGCAATGAAATCTGTAAGAAAAAACAGAAATAAAACTAACTGACAAATTGTCTCAACTGATATCTATAAAGTTAGCTGCATTTGCTGTCATCTAGATATTTTTTTAATAGTGAATAAGAAAATATTTATTATAAATATTTTTTTTTAATTAAATTAGTTAACTAAATTTATTTACTTCTATAGCATTATAAAGGTATGTTAGAAGTGTGAATTTTTTAGTGAATCTTAAGATATTTCCATCAGTAAAAAGAGGATTCATTTTGATACTTGGGAATTTTTAGAAAAAAAAGTAATTATTTTTAGTTCTTAGTTTACATTTGTTTCTCTTCTTAATATAACAATTGCTTCTCCTACAATGTACTTTGTAGTATCTCCTTCAATTACTAAATGAATTATACAAATAAATGTGAATTTTGCTGGCATGATTTATAATTTTTTTTAAAAAGAATTTAATGGTTGTTTGGTAATAGTAAGAAGAAGATGGAAGCTTTTTATTTATCATTTTTTTTTAGAAATTAGTAAAAAAAGGTAGTGTAAGAGAAACAGGATTTTTTTTCTTTTAAGAAAAAAGAAATCTTCTTTAGAAATTTCATAAGAGATTCATCATTTTTTTTCATTGTTTATTCATTATTTTTTTCTAAAAAAAAAAATATAGAAGTGATGAAGTATTTTTTTTGATAATTTTTGATATAAATTCAGAGAGGAATTTAAATAGATCAGTAAGATTTTATTTCATTCTCTATAAATGCATTTACTTTAAATAGTTAAAATAGTCATGGCATATTTTCTTTTTTCTTAATTAATTAACTAAAAAAAAAAGTTTAATAAGAAAATTTTAAAAATACCACTTGTGTAAAGTTTTTTTGCGTGTTATATGATGTAATTAGATCCTTTTTTTCTAATATATTGAACTGCTGTTCATAAGAGCTGATTGTCAAAGCATGAAGCATGAAGCCTTACGCATGAAATTATGCATAAATTTATATAAGATTATGAATACAGAATAGAAGAAGTTATAAAAATGGTAAAAAGGGTTAAACCATATTTATTATCAAACTAACCAAACTGAAAACTGAATTTTTTGGTTAGTATAAACCATCAAAAAATTGTCTGATCCTTTACAAATAGAGGTTATGCAAGTAGCATAAGCTTTTCAGTGTTTCCAATTCTTTACAAATAGAGATTAGGCAAGTAGCATAGGCTTTTCGGCATTCTTTTCTATATGCTAATAAATATATATATATTGTGCGTCAGAGAGTCAACCGACAGTTGACATGCGTCAGATGATTAATGCTGGTCAAACCTTCTTAAGGCATTATACGATCAGCCTAAAATAGGCCCATAATTTAGGCCAGTCGGAAATTATAGTTAACGCATAACATAGGTATATAAAAAATTATTTATTACAGTATTTGGTTTGGTTTAGTAATTCAAATAGTGTTACTTTAAAATTTTAAAATAAAAAGAAAGTTTTTTTTATTAAATTAACCTGGATTTCGATATTTAAAAATGAAATTACAGCCGGGTGTGATACCGGTGACAAATATACACGTGACTATCACCGAACATATGTAAGGTCATGTGATTTGCAATTGTCACATGTAGAAATGACATAAAATTCACGTGAAAATCATATTCCAATGATGATTTCAATCATTTAAATTAAAAAACTTTATAAAAGAAATATTAAATCAAATAAAAATATGTTCTTAAAGAAAGATGTAGTGGTGATCGTTAGTTTCAAAATTAAATCGCAAGTTTCATGTAATGAAAATTATTCTTTTTGGTCATTTTACCAGAGAATTGAAATTTAGTAAATTGCAGAATCTAAGCCGTTTAACCTTTATTGCGCCACATTACTTTAGTTAATTGTTAAAAATGGATAGCCAAATATATTCTTTCATTTGGATTGTAGGAATTTCTTATTGTAAGATTGTTACACTACATATTTATTTACCAATTACGCATCATTACACATGAATAATGAATGCAATTGTAATAAATTTTACTCACGGTCAATAGGTAATTAAATTTTTCTCTCTTTACCACTTTGACAAAACAAAATGGCGCTCAAAAGAATCAATAAGGAATTGGCCGACTTGAGGCGGGATCCACCACCATTATGTAGCGCTGGTCCCATTGGGGACGATCTTTTTCATTGGCAAGCGACAATAATGGGACCTTCAGAATCTCCATATGTCGGAGGGGTATTTTTCCTTTCTATCGTCTTTCCCACAGATTATCCGTTCAAACCACCAAAGGTAACTTTTACAACAAGAGTGTATCATCCGAATATCAACAGCAACGGAAGTATATGTTTGGATGATCTAAAGGACCAATGGTCCCCGGCTCTTACCATCTCGAAAGTTCTTATTGCCATTCGCTCAAGATTAATTGATCCTAATCCCGATGATCCACTTGAACCCGAAATTGCGCACTTATACAAGTCAGACCGTAATCGTTATGAAGATACGGCACGGGAATGGACGCGCAAGTTTGCGAGTGGGTTTTATTTACGTATTTCCTGTTCATATTTTTCTTTTTTATATCATGTGATTTAACATGTCTCTTTTCTTGTAATTATTAGTGTCATAATGGATTGAGGGTCGGATAAACTTATTCAAGTTATATATTTCAACGTATATATTTCATGTTTGTCTATCTATCATTTATCATTTTTCTTATCTTGTAAAAGCTTGTTCAATGGTTTTTTATTTTATATATATATATATTTTTTTAAAAAATTACGTATTCAAGAACAATTTAAGTTTCCTTCATGGAGATCTTTTGTTTCAATACAATATTTTAACAAATCTTATTATGTATTGCGATGATGTATTTTTAATAAAAAAGAATTATTTCTCTTTAACATATTGTAATTAATAATTTCATATTTTTAAATTTCAAACTTTTATTGAAGTACAGTAATTTATAACTTTTTTGACAGTAGCAGATACTTTTATTACAATATCGGTCGAAGGCCAACCAAAGTAACTTTTATTGTATCAAAACCATCGGTCCATTAAATAATCATATTAACCTGAATGGTACAGTTATAATTTAAATAAATAATTTTTAATTTGAATTCATCGTGGGGAGAAAAAATCATATTTGCTTGCACGATTTTTTTTTTTTTAAACTTTATTTTTTAAAAAAATAATAACGTAAACGCCGAAATGAAAAAGTAAAATAATCATACATTAACTGTTTTCAAAAAGATTCGTAAAAAATTTTTTTTTATTTAGGAATAAAGAATCCAAGAATTTCGTTGGTAGGAAAGTCACGTGAGTATGTGATGTTGAAATTTTTCGTGTCGTTGATTTCACACCTTAGTTTGGTATATCGAAACGTTTACATTCAAATTTTTTAATTATTTTAATTAAATAAAGATTAATTGTTTTTCTTTTTGTGAAAATTATTACAAATTTCGTATTGATATAAAGGAAGGTTTGCTTAATATGTTACATTCGTTTCTATTCAAAAGGTGCTTTTGACAATTATATAACGCTATAGATGTTCAAAAAAAAAAAAAAAAACTTAATTGAATTATTCTACAGTGCACTAAGAAAAAACAGCCATTAAAAAAAGTCATTACTTTCCGGTTGACACAAAAGAATTTGCTAAAAGATCGTAATTGGAGTAAGTTATTCGTTGAATTTTGTATAAACGGCATAAAGAGGTTTTGACGATTTTATTATACTGTATAATAATTTCTTTGTATTTAGAAATGTAAAATATTTAATGAAAGGAAAAAGATGAAAATTAATGGGATTTAACAATTTGTAATTCTACCACGATTATTAAAAAAAAAAAAAAAAAACAAAAAAAAAAAGAAGAGAAAAAATATTCTATATTTTTTTTTTTTTTTTGATTTTATTGTTAATATTGAAAACAATTCCTTGATTAACAAATAAAAAAGAACAAATTTTTTACATATGCATTTTTAATTATTAAATAATGATCAATTTCTTTAAATGAAAACAAAACTGCCGTATTTGTCAAATTTCAATACTTTTTTGAATTAATTAGTAATAGATATTTCCAGCATTACGGTGGATGTGACATTCGGAATTTCTAAATTGACTCAGTCCACAAGAAAGCGCAGGCTCGATCCATCAACATTCGAGATAGGGAAGCTGGCGAAATACAACCGATGAACAAATATATCAAGGCCCATAATATATTATAACCTGGCTAAGTTGGAAAAGATTAAAAGTACCACCATCAGAAACGCTCCGGTTGTCCCAAATAAATTATTGAAGAGTTCAAAAGTTCTTAGGTAGTATATTAGAAGAAATCCAGCAGTTTCTTCTAAAAAATTAGCATCCAAATTGTCGTTAAGGGGTATAGAAACGTCCCATTTCTTACAAGGTTGCAACGTATATAATGAGCCTATAAACATATGAATGATGACTGAAATGCACAGTTTTTTCGATGAAACGTCCTTTTGGCCATCTAGCTATACAAAAGGACCGGGAAAGAATCAACAAATGAGGACGATTTTGTAAACGGGGCAAACTATTCATTTAATGCATCCGGGCCAGTCTATGTTGAAAAAGCATCTCCCTGAAATCAAGAGGATGCTGCGGAACAATTGACGCCCCCAGCAGGATAATAATCCTAAGCATACGATCCCTATAGCTAAGAAATTTCTGCCAGGGAATGTCTCGACCGTTTCGGATTGGCCCTCTAACAGTTCCAATTTGAACCCTATTGAATATTTATGAATTATTATAAGCTCCAGTTTTAATTCTTGAAATTGAACAATATAGGTGATATTAAATAAATATTAATATGGAGTTAACAATTCTGAAGGACGGAGTTGTATTTTGCAGACATATTTCCCATTCGTATTTCTTCCAATAGTTAGAATTCTACATCAATATTTGACATTGGGCCGTTATCTCACCATCATTTAAAATTCTGGACTTTTACGCATAAAAAAATGCTTTAATCTGAAATAAAATGAATTAAATAATTTAATGTTTTTTTAATAAATCTATTTGAAATTTATAAATAAAATCTAATACTCACAAAAGTTTGTTACTTATTTCATAACAAATCAGTTTATACTGGACAAAGTATGTGAATATTTTTTGTCGGAAATTTATGACGAAAGAATAGATGAGAACAAACAGGTGACAAAATTTAAAATTATTGTCTAACTTACCTTGCCATTCATTTTAGACGCTATTGTTTTGTTAAATCTTTGGTTCTTAATTAATCATCTATAAGTTGCAAATTAAAATATAGTCGAACTCAATATCCAATTCTAAACGTTTCAAGTTCAGGGAAATTTATAATAAACATTTTATGCTCTTGGGTAAAAAAATCATTGCATTGTAACAAAGCTTCAAAGTTTCTGTTGCCTGCTAATTTTCTATATCAGATTCTGAAGATTGTCTAAAAATTTTCGTTCACTTTGCTGCAGTCTATATTTAGGATATGTCTTCGCTAGATCTATGATTTCTTTTAAAAAAGCACTTTATTGTCTTTGATTCTTTATTGTTTCTTTACAATATTTTTTCATATATCATACTACTAGCAATCCCTTGATGAAGCCAATTAATTTAAAAAATGAATGTTATGACATTTCAGTTTACATAATGAAAGTTTGATTGTTACAAAAACTAATTCTTGAGACTTTATTCCTAATAAAGCTAGATTCAAGTTTTACTATTTCTAAACGGTTATAAGATTATATAAAAATGTTAATTTAAAAAACCACTTTATGCGAAATAAATAAATTAAATACATATTTAATTAATTAACAATCTTAGTCTTAAGAATTCAATAATAAACAAAAAAAAATACAGTAACTTTAAATCTAGTAGATATATTATTAATTGGATTTATGTGATTTATTTTAAATTTGTCAACAGATTAACTGATTTCAATTGATTTTATACATGTATTATTCATATAAATCATCCTTAAAAAAGAAAATTCCAATAAGATTTTATTTTTATTATTATAAATAATAGAAAATAATAGCAAAAAATTACAAAGTAAAAAAAGAACTTACAAATTTCAGATATTACTTTAATTACAAATTGTATTATATTTCATATTTCATATTGTAATGATTATTATAAAAATAATAAATATTAATTTATTAACTTTGTAATGTTTAAGTTATTTTTATAATATGTATTAAATAATATATTTTTTATTAATTATCTTATTTATTTTATTTATCTAGTATAAGTTATTTTTTTTATTTGTGTTATTTATTTTTATTAAAAGCATAATATAATATTAATTAATTATTTTATATAAGTAGTAGAGTAAAAATAAAATAGGTAGGATTAAATTCAGAATAAAGAATAAATATAGTGAAGGCTTTCTGACCTCTTTTCTGATATATAAATTTTTATGAAATCTTTTTTACCAGTTAAATTAATTTGTAAGATCATCATACATATTATAAATTGATATAAAATTTAAGATTAAAATTAAGCTATAAGTATTTTCTATCATCAAAATTTCTGATATTAAATTTGGCTTAGAATTAGACCTTTTAATAGCATTAATTATACTATTTTATATACAGTAACTTTTTAGTTTGATTTTAAAATCCAATTAGAATATAAAAAAATATACTATATAGTTTAGGTTTAAGATGACATAAGATTAGTAAGAATCAAAGTATTTGAAGCTAAATTTATGAAGCCTTTATATACTGATTTTTATGATATTTTAAAATTAATTCTTAAAGTGATTCATTACCATAAATAAAGAGTTACTAAGTCTCATTTTTGAATATTAATATACTAAGTCTTATCTTTGCAAAGTAAAATTTAATGAGACTACAATAATATTAGAAATCAAATCAAAAGACCATTACGCATATTTTTGTATATCATTAAATTTCACTATATTTGTTTATATTCTAGAGGCTAAATCTTTGCAAATTTCTAAAAACAAAATAATTATATGAAAGTAAGTCTTACCTCTAAGTCTCACCTTAAGGAGTAATCAAATTTAAAAATTAAAAGCTTATAAACAAATTCTAACATATCATTAATTTTATAATATACAGAAAATATTTCTAAAGCTATTTCTTTTACTAAAATACTGAGGAAAAAAAGTTATATGAAAAATTTATCATATCTGTAATATAATTTTATTAGTAAAAATTCTAGAAAGCTTTCAATTTAGATTAGTATAAGTTTCAGAAAATAGAAATTTTTTTTATATCATATGATTAGAAAATAAATCATAAAAGTATATATCTTAATGCTCTGAATAATTCAATTCAGTTCAGATTATAGGCTAATTTGAAACTAAACTGAAAATTTTGATTTAGTTCAGTTCAGATTATAAATCTTAAAAATACTAATCTGAACTGAACTGAATTATAAACTGGTAAAAATCTGAACTGAACTGAAAATTTCAGATTAATCTGAAAGTTCAATTTGATATATTCAAATCTTAAAGAAAATCTAATTTATGATTTTCTTAAGAGTTTCACAATTATTCTACGATTCCCTTAGAGTTTTGCAAGTAATTTGCAATTTTTTAAAGTTTTATAAGTAATTTGTGATTCTTTTAAGAGTTTTACGATTTTCTTTAGAGTTTTATAAGTAATTTATAATTCTTTAGAGTTTCACAATTACTTTATGATTTTCTTAGAGTTTCGAAAGTAATTTGTAATTATCTTAGAGTTTAGCAATTACTTTGCAAATTTCTTAGAATTTTGCAAGTAATTTGTGATTCTCTTAGAATTTCACAATTACTTTGCAATTTCTTTAGAGTTTTGCAAGTAATTTGCGATTCTTTTAGAGTTTCATGATTTTCTTCAAAGTTTTGCAAGTAATTTGTGATTCTCTTAAGAGTTTTACAAATATTTTGTGATTCTTCTTAGAGTTTTATAAGTAATTTGTAATTCTCTTAAGAGTTTTACAAATATTTTGTGATTCTTTTTAGAGTTTTGCAAGTAATTTGCAATTTTCTTAAGTTTTACAAGTACACTATCTTTAGAAAAGTATTTGTCAACCAAAATAATATTTTATTTATTTGAGATTTTTGATATAAATAAAATATTTAATATATTTAATATTCAGTAGGCTATCCTTGGCTTCTAATGTATGCTTTGATTCTATGTGATATGCTTTCTATAAGATTAATATAAGTTTCAGATGGAATTTTTCTCTATTTTTCTTACAATATTTCCTCAAGTTCACAAAGATTTTTTGGTATTACTAGAATTAGCATATTGATTGATTATATCTGTAACAGTATTTGTAAAATCTTTAAAAGATGAGCAATAGCTTTATAGTTTCTTCTATCTATCCATAAATTGATTATTTTTTTGCGTTCAAATTTATTTAATTCGTAACTTTTCTACATTAAATAGCACAATTTAAAAAAAAAAACTTTTACATTTTTGTTTATTAAAACTGATCTATATATTATTATACAAATATAAATATATGTACTTATTCATCAAAACCAAGAGATTTATTTTTAAAAAATAGCTAGTTAATATATTTGATCTTGAATAATTTAAGAAGAGCTTAATTGGATACTTTTCTGAGGGTAGTGTATTTTGCAATTCTTTTAAGAGTTTTATAAATATTTTGTGATTCCTTTTAGAGTTTCGCAAGTAATTTATAATTCTCTTAGAGTTTTGCAATTACTTTATGATTCTCTTAGAGTTTCATAATTACTTTTATGATTCTTTTAGAGTTTCATAAACAATTTATGATTTCTTTAGAGTTTCACAAATGTTTTGCAATTTTCAATTCTCAGAATTTCGTGATCTTATTTTTACAATTCTTTTTGAATTCTCTTTTCTTTAATTACTTATTTTTTATGAATCTGTTATTTTTTTAACTTTTATTTAGTTTTAGTAATATTTATTTTATTATAATAATTTAAAATTAAAAATTACAATCATTATTTAACATTTATAAAATAAATAAGCTTTATAAGATAACAATAAAATTAATAAAACTATAACATTATTTTTTATCATCTTTTTTTCACTAACTTTTTAAACACATACAAATTCTAATAGTTTTTGATTTTAAGCTGTATCTTCTATGTAAAATTAAATCTATTCTATCAGAAAATACTTTTTCAATTAGAATACTTGTATTTATTTATTATAATGAGGTATTAAATTCAAAATAATTTTTATATTTAAGTATTAACTTATAATAGCATACCAGAAATTGCTAAATAATTTCTTGCCATTTTTGATAAATTTGGAAATTTTGCTTTGTATAACTATAAATTAAATTAAAAAATTAAATTGATTTATTATATAATTAAATAATAATATAATATAATTTTAAATTTTACCTTTCAAAATATTAAAACATTAATATTAAGAATTGATGTATTATTTAAATATGTTTCTAATTCATTATTTTTAACTAGTTTTCTTTTTTTAAATATATGTGTTATTAATACATTTGAATTTGAATTAGATTGATTATCACTTTCATTGGAATTTTAAAAATATTTATCATTTTATAATTTTTTAATTTATTGTTTATATGTTTGTATATAATCAGATTCAAATTCATTATCTATATAATAATTTAATTTAAATCTTGGATCCATTATTTAATAAATATAATAAAATTATTAATATTAATATTTTATAATAAAAATAAATTAAATAAGCTTATGCATACTTATTGAAATTACATAAACAAGTCCATCAAATATTAGGTAATATTATTTTAACTTAGTTTTAGCATTATTAGCAACCTTAATAATATTATTTAATTGAGCTGTATCAATAAAATCCTCAATTATATTAATTAAATAATTATAAATTAGAACTGTTTGATTGAATGTTGATTTACTTATTTTACTTATTTCAAGAGTAACTAATTTAAAATACTAAAATATTAATTAATATTAAATATATATTTTAATTTAAATAATATTTATTATATTATAAATATATATCTTTAGTAAATTTTTAATTTCCTCAATTTTATTTCATTTATCATTAGATAATAAAAATTCTATTAATTCCTTATTTGTTGATGCTATACTATATAATGGCTAATAAAAAATTTTGTTAAAATAAAATAAAAATAAAATAATTATAATTTATAATTTATCTTATATAGTATTAATACTCTTTCCATTATATCATAAGTTAAATACTAATATTATTTAATATCTGAAATTAATTGAAGACTTTTAATTTTTGAAGTAATACATTGATGATTAAGTTTTTCATATCTTTGAGGTAATGCACGAATTTTAACTACTAATTTTCTTAACTAAATTTATAATAAAATTATTAATAATTAGTATAAATTAAATAAAAATAAAATTTTATACCATTTATATTACTCCCATATTTTGATTGTTTTTTATATTTTCTAATACATTTTCTTCTTTTTCTAATCTAACCTCTTTTAATATTAAAAGAGCTTCTTGAGCAGCTAAATTAATAATATAGGCTAAATATTATACACGTTGGTCTTCAAAATTAAAAGTTATATTATCATTAAAAAATAACATTTTAAATGAGTGAAATGCAGTATCTATATTATATATATTATTAGATATAATGCTTAATATCTATTAAAAATATTATTTATTAATTAAAATATACTTATTTTTATTAATATAAATAAATTAAAATTTACCTTTTATAATATTTTATATTCTTTTTAAGATTTTATAAAATATATATGAAATATTTTCATCAGAATGAGATCTTTCAAAATGATAAAATCAAGAAGGATTTCTTTAAGTTCTCAATCTTTTGTAATCCAATATGCTGTAATTTCAAGAAATGGAATTTGATGTTTAGAAATTCATAATCAAGAGTAAATGAAATTTTACTCAGTACTTCTTGTAATTGTTTTTTAATATTAATTTTTTCTTCATTATATACTTTTACAATATCAGCAGAACATATTTTTGCTTCAAAATTAAGTCTTTTTATCATTGTTTGAAAAAATATATTTTCAACAACAACAAAAGATTGATCATCTATAATTATCTATTTAGTTAAAGCATTTAACCAATCTTTTTGTGTAAATATCTATTATTATAAATTATTAAATTATCAAATCTTATTATTTAAAATGAATATAATTAAATTAATAAAAATAATATACATACTAAAGAATTTTTTATATTAACATATTTATCCATTGACCTTTTAATTTTGAAAATAAATATGAATATTTTATTTTAAGATGAGTTTTTAATATTAAAGTTGATCTACAATATCTTTAGAAATTTTATAAATTATACTTAAAAAAAATCAAATTAATTTTTATAATATTTTAATTATTATTATTACTAAAAATTTAAATTTTATTTGTAATGATTACAATAATATTTGTTAAGAGTATAATTACTATAAATTATAAATCTCTGTTTTTTTTTATCTCTATAACTAGATCCCTCATCTTGGATATTTTGGTTAAGATCCTTCATATCTTGAATGGATTCTTCATTTAAAAATTCTTCACCATTATCAGAATATGATTCATTTTTCATTTTATTAAAATTTTTTTATTAAATAAAATTATAAAAAAATTAAAAGATAAATTAAAGTGCCAGATAATTTTCTATGATATTTATAATGTTGTGTTAAAGCTAGTAAAGTAACAAAGCAAGTAGTAAAAGCTAATAAAGCCAATTAATTAATTAAGTTATAAGCTAAATGGTTAAGTGTGGTAAAGTTAAATAGTAAAAGACCAAGTAGAAGCAAAGATAAATGATATTTTTAATAAATCCAAGCTAATTAGCAAAGTCATTAAAGCCAATTAGTAAATTATATGGCAAAATTTGATAGGGTCAGATAGCAAAAAGCTATGTGACTAAGCAAATAAAATTATGTTACAAAATTAATTACAAAGCTAAGTGGCTAAGGCATCAAAGCTAAATAGTAAATTTATATAGTAAAATTTGATAAAGCCAAGTAATAAAAAGTTAAGTGGTAAAGTTAGTAAAGCTAGGTTGCAAAATTGACTTACAAAGCCAAGTGACAGAGTTATCAAAGCTAAGTAATAAAATTATATGGCAAAATTTGATAATTCCAAGTAAGTGACAAAGCTAGCTAAGATTAATTGCAAAGTTAAAGAGAAAATAGTTAGTACGAATATTCTACTTGAAGAAAATAGTCAAAACTTTGACAATTTCACATTCTGCAGCTTTTTGCAGTACAATTTTTTATTGTGTTTATAAGCAGCTTCATCTTTTTTACCAGCATCACCAGAGAAATATAAAGTAGCGGCATTAAACATACCAACAATTTGGCCATTTTCAGAGGCCTTGGTAAAATATAAAGCCGCTTCTTTTAAATCCCTTTGAACTCCTGCACCGATAAATAAACAATGACCATAACGTAATTGAGCTTCAGGGAATTCATCGCCTGCATCCGCTGCTTCAATGCTGCTATTATCTTATCTTTTTCTGATTGGTCCAAATCAAGTCTAACTAATTTTTTTGAATATAAAATGCTTTCATATATTCTGCTTTCATATTACCTAATTCTGCGTATGCTTCAAAACATTTATAAGCTGATTCGCGAATTCCATTAGGAAGTTTATGTTTTTTTTGCTGCTTAACTGTCAGATAATCAAAATCTGCAGAATTTAGTATAATTACAGTTTCATCTGATGAAGTAAGTTATCTGAAATATCTGGCGCAGGATCAATATTCTTACAAATTTCTTGAAGTGTGTTAAAGATCTTTGAAAATTGAGGTCGAAAATTATGATCGTGATGAAATGCTAAGTTTGTTTTATCACAATAAATTTATATAACCTTAGTATTATTTAAATAATAAGTACCTTTTTTTGCGAGTTTCTGGTATTCAATTGGTATAGAAGAACCATAAGAAAATGGTTCGCGATATCTTCCTACGCAAACTTGCTCTTTTAAATTCCATAATATTAGAACCAAATTTCTTATAAGGAATTTTTCTTCGGCAATTTCCACTTAATTTTTCCGGAGCGCAATATCGTATTTCTTCTATTGCTGATTTTATAAATTTAGTACTATCGGAAACTCCTCGACTTGATTTAAAATTTGCAATCTTGGCAATTTCATGATCGGTTATTAAGATATTCTTGGCTCTTATATCACGATGAACGATCTATCGAGACAAGTTTATCACCAAAAGTAAATACAGGTAAATTTTAGATAAGAACTTTTCTTTAGTGGATGAATAAATTAAAATAAATATTACCGAAACGGCGCTCAAAAAATTTAAGCCTCTAGCAATGTCAAGAGCAAGTCTTATTTCATTTTAACTTCAAGTGGACCATATTTTTGATTATATTCACGTAAATTTCCATTCCGTCATCAAATATAATTTATCTTCATGTGAAGTCTAACCATTAAATTGAATAATAAAATGACATTCTCTCAATTTTTTTAAGAATGTGACTTGACGTTTAAGGTTAGCTTTTTCTTCATCACTAATTAACTTATCAGCCACCAACCTTAATGCGACATAATCATCCAATCCATGTTATCGTTTAAATTTTCTTACATTTTGATTTTCTATGGGTTCGCCTTCTTCCTCAATCTGATTGATCTGTTGATGATTGATATCTTATTTGATCCAATGTAGTTTTCAGCACATTCGTGTCAGTGACCGCTGCCAATATCTTAAGGTACTATATAAATACGTAAGAGATTTATAAATAAGATTACATGAATTAAAAAAATTAAATTATATCATGCGTTACCTAGAATAAATATTCGATATCAGACTTAATGTCCTGATCATCTTTGTTAGCACGTAAGCTAACTCAACCTTCCAAGAAAATTGTAGAAGGCATATAGTAGAATCAAATTCATTCATTCTTTTACACGTTTTTCAATACTTTTGCCATGAATATATTTTGATAATCCTTTTAACTGAGATATTTCTTCAACAAATTTACAAATTATATCGATGAGATGAACTAACTTTTGTAAATTATAAAGATTTCTTGCTGAAAAGAAAAATAAATTTTCAACTCTTCGGTTATTTACATTTCATACGACTGTATCAGCAGCTTGGACTCTATCCAACAAGATCCCACATATTTTTTTATTATGTTCGGCTGCTAGATATATTTCTACGATTCCATTGAAAATTTTGGATACATCTATTATAAGTGGTAAAAAACTTGTAAAAAGTATTGAAAGGATTGTTGCGTCCACCGCGAATTGCCGCTATAGTATTAAAATTTGGTTCAATAAGTTCTACGTATGTCATTCATCATCAGTATTGATTACTAATGAAGCAATTCTCTTTACAACAGTTATATTACCATCATCCGACTGGACATATTCTTGTTTAATATTAGTAATATTGAATCAAAATTTGAAGTTCCTTTGCTCATTACTATAATATTCATTTTCATTGATATTGTCAATACAAGTGTTACTTTGTTTGAGTGAAATTACTGCTTCAAGAGATGAAACAACTTCCTATATATTTGGACGTTCATTTGATTCATTTTCCAACATTCTAATATAAGTAAATTAGTAACAAAAGAAAAAAATTTTATAAAATTATCATTACTTACTTTGATATAGGATAATGTATTCATGTGGAGTGCTATCAATTATTTTCTCTCTTTCCACCTATGATATTTAAGGATAGACTCACATCATAATCTAAGCCATAAAATGGTTTATATCCACTTGCATCCATAAAGTACTCCAACACTATAAACATCAGACATTTTATTTGATTTATAACAACTATCCATTAAACGTTTTGGGTCCACGTAAGGTATAATACCAAATATTTTTGATGAATTACTTGAAGTTTCCGTAATTTTTCTTAATAAACCAACGTCTGCTAATTTAATTTTTTGCGGATAATATTTGCTTCATGTAAAAATTCTACAGAATTTGAAAGTTGAATTGCCAACTGGTATTTGTCATCCCAATAAAGTTCATTGAAATGTTTATTTAAATAATAGTTCAATTACCGCTATCAGCGTATTCTAAGACCAAAGAGTATTCATCTGTACAAAAAATCATTTATAAATTTAAAATGTAAAAAATATTAAAGATTCAATAAATACTCACTGGGTTTTACCATGGTGATACCAAATAACCGTATAATATTTTCATGATAAATTAATATTTCGATGCAGTTTCAACTGTGAAATAAATAAGCAAGTATTTAATAATTTAAACATTTCTTTTCACTTACATAACTACTGATTATTATACCTCTTCCACAATTTCATTGATGACGACTTGAGAATTGTTAAAGATTTCAAGGCGAAAATTTGTTTCTTTTCCAACTAATTCGACAAATCTTTCCATATGTATGTAACTTTTATTTGGAAATCCGAGTATTTAAAAAATTTAATATGTATGTTCTTTGGCAATTGATTTCTCTAACCAATCAATATGATATTTTAAATCTTTTGCTATCTTTTGACATTGTTATAATATTTGAAAAAAAAAAAAAAATTAGTACAAGTTGTACATTATATAGTTTGCAATGTTGTACTACATTGTGCACGGTACAATAATGTCTTATTGCTGTTTATATCATTTTTTATCATTTTGCAGATCGAACTTAAAAGAATTCACGAGTCGCGTATAATTTCAGTTCAAAATATATTATAAAATTTATGTTACCAAATATATTTTAAAACATTTTTATAATGACAAATTTATTTGTTAAAATATCAAGTACAGTCCTTGTTCTTATTAGATTATGCTATAATTCTTTATTAAAAAAAAAAATTGTATAATATATCAAATCAATTTTACATGAATCTAATCAATATTAAATGCTTGCGCTTAGCCAGATATAATGAACCTATAACTGTTTCTCCTGGACACCGCGTAGAGGTGGCAAGCTTCGTTCAGGTTAATAAAAATATTTGAGGTGAAAAAAATAACAGAAAGTGCATACGAATATAATAGGGGCATAAAAATAGGTTTAAAAAAATTTTCACCTCAAGACATCATCAAAATACATAAAACAGATTTAAAAAAAAAAAAAAAACAAAAAATAATTCTAAACTACAAAATGTGGATGAAGTGGCCAATTGGGGATTATTTTAAAAGCAAAAAGGAACGATAAAAGCAGCCAACTTCATATAATAGTACGATACATCAAGTATCGTAGTCATGCTTATTAAAATATAAGCACCCTAGTGAAATTTTCAAAGGGGGATAGATTTTTTTTTTTTTTTTTAATTTTTAAATTTTTTTTTCTTTTTTTTTTTTTTTTTTTAAATTTTATTAAATTTTTTTTTTAGAGAACTTCAAAGACGACGAAAAGAAGGAGAGGTGACCAGCTAAAAACGAAGAGGAAAGGGGTAAAAACCATAATCGATGGCAACGTAAATGCCAGGAGGATCAAGATCCATTGGCTCCGGCCATCGACTTGGGGGAGGAATGTAAGGGGTTTCTACATAAATGCCTGGTGGATCGAGATCCATCGGCTCTGGCCACCTAGAAAAATGATGGATAGGAGCAATAGGGCGAGCTGGTACAGCTGTAACTGGAGGTGGAGGAGGAGGAACTGAAACAAGGGGAGGGGGAGGGACAGTAACAGATGGTGGGGGAGGGACAGTAACAAGGGGAGGGGGAGGTACTGAAATTGTGGGAGGGGGATGAATTAAAGTTACAGCTGTAGAAACAGAAGAAGTGACAGCTGTAGAAGAAGAGGGAATAAAAGATACAGCTGTCGAGGTTGGGGCAAGGATTGAAATAAAGGAATTAACGGTAAGTGATGAAATAAGTCGTCGCCTTTGCATTTCTCTACGTAACACCTTTGGTCTTGCTCTAAATGACATTTTTATAAAATTCCTAAAAATGATTGAATAAACATTTTTTTAAATATTTTCCTTTCAAATCTTTCAAATGTTCATAAAAAAAAAAAATACTGAAACGTACCAAATTGAAAAATTTTTGGAATAAAGTTTACAAACTAAGGTTCGAGATCCTTTTTATACCAAGAGGTGGCTGAGAAAACAAATGAATAGCCAATAAACTACGCGATCTACGTAATCAAACATTTTACTATAATGACGTCATTTCTTTCCATATATGGTATATTTAATTTAACTTTTAATTCTGGTCATAATTAAAATATAATGTGGTGAATTATGATTGGCCTCCAATACCTTTAGAAAATGCTTTGCCTCCAAAGCTTGTTATGAATACACATGAAGAAAGGTAGTCATTTAAATAGTAAATATAACATCGTATTAAATTGTTTTATCTTGTTATCTATCTTATTTTTTCACACCAACTTACACCAACTTGTATTCGGTCGAACATTTATTTAGTTATACAATGGTACCAGTGACTTGGACAACCAGGAAAAAGATAAATATTTATTTTTTTTTAATTAAAGAAGAAACCCTACGATTTTGGATATTCAACATTCCTTAAACCATCATTCGCTTTATTATATAACAGCTATCTTTTTTTTTTATACCATTTTAGAGTTATATTTTTTTGGACCACAGCAATCAAATGATTTTTTTTTCAGTTATTATTCAAGAGCGAATCGTCCATCCAAAAGATTGGGTCGGGATTTTTCTTTTTAAATTTTCATTCATATTGACTAGTTTTGTTTTGCAAGACATTATTGTTCTTTAATATTTTTTTTTTTTAAAAAAAAAAAAAAAAATTTACGGATTTGCGAAACAATTTCCTACGGTGGTAGAAGGAAATTACAATGTTAAACTTCAAAAATAATTTGTTCTTGCAAGATTTTCTTATAAAGGACGCATTATTTGAAACTATCAATTTTTATTCTAATAAAAAAATCAACAATTAATTTTATTTAATAAATTTATCCTTTTAGAATATGGAGTTTTTATTTTTTAATTTTCATAAATTTAAAAAAATTTTCTATTCAAAATAGTACTGCAGATTTTCATTCTCATCCGGGGTTGTGGTTAAACTTGGAATTTTTTTTAAAGTTCTCCTTAAGAAAAGTTTCCCAATTAAGACTTTCTCGACGAACGTCCCATAATAAAACTTACAGTAAGTTAATTTGATAATATTTATTGAAATACCACGTGATGCTTTAATTCAATAATTATAATTTTATTGTATGCACTCAGAATGTGTTAGATACTAACCCAATGCAAAATTAAAAGTAATTTCTAATCCATTTGTACAACTAAAAATATTTCTCAGTTTTTATGAAAAACCTGATGGTACAGTAGAATGATGTATAGCTCTTGTAATGTTTTACGTGAAATATTAATAAACTCCATTTAATACAGCATGGGTCATAAAAGAATTTGGATTATATGATAAATTTGAAAATGGTATTGTTTGTAAGAAGGAATGAGCGATGAAGATTGAAAGAATATATCTGTGAAAAGGTAATTTTCATCCAACAAATATTTAAAGGAATTTTCGAATGATTTAATTTTCATTCCCTAGACAAATATATCGTTCATACTTATTCCTGGTAAGCAAGTAGACTATTGAAGAAGATTTTAATATATAAATCTCACTTGTAAATTATTTTATGCAAAAGTAATCGAATTTTGGTTGGTTTTATCGATATATTTGATAGTATTGTTGGAGCACCACAAAGGTAAAATACTCAATGTTTTTTTTTAAAGTGGTTCAAAAATAATTATCTTTACAATATCATTAAACTTAAAATGGAATTCAAAAAAAATTATTTTTTTCGATTATCCTTTATTAAATTAACTATTTTTATTCCGATAAACATAAAATTTTAATTTATTAGTCTTAAGTTATTTGTCCTTTACCTAATAAATTCAAACTTTTTAATAGTATTTTAATTCCCTTAATAAAATATTAAATATTCGTATAACATTTAAATAAGATAAAATTGAATCTATTAGATTACTCCCTCATGATTCAATATGCAGCACGAGCTTCTGAGATAACAGATATAGTTCGATTTCTTGCTTTATATTATTTGGAGGTTGTTTATATTACATATGGAATTTTTTAACAAACGCATAATTTTTGAAAATTTATAGAAATGCTTTTGTTTTTTCATATATGGGAAGTTTGCTAGGAAAATCGGGTTCTGGAATTTTTTTTGATTAAAATTAAGACCTTATTACATTTTAATATAATAACATCAAAAACTAAAATGCAATAAAAAATAAAATTTTGTTAATAAATTCCCAGAGTCCCATTTTCCTAGCAAACCTCCCGTCATTGTTTGGATAGAATATAACTTATTCATAATTCACCATAATCATGAAGAAAGTTTACTTCATTTTTCATAATAATCCTAAATTTTAATTTCGTTTTAGTGATTCTTAGTTTTGAAACTACAAAAAATGATCGAATAAATAAACGGTTACATTACGATTTCCCAAATGGCAATGCCATCCCTATTTCTCGAATTCCTAAATCTGTCAATCTTGCCTTCATCATTGCTCTTTTTTTCTCAGTTACTAG